AAACTCTTTGGACAGCCCTCAGGTCCTTCCAACATGTCCCCATGTGTTGAAAGACTTACCCAAGTTCTTGCAGTATCATGGCACCCACATGCACACAGCAGCTGAGAGATGAGCCCGTGGGAAAGCTGAGGCAGCAAAGCACACTTCCTGAAGTGTGGGCTGCCTCTGTCCCTGCAGCACAGTGCCCGAGTGCACACATAGCTGCCCTTTCCCTGGCTTTGACTTGCGTCACTTCCCTTGGCCTGTTTCCTCAGCTGGACCCATACTATCTTTTTTAAGGTTAGATGAAATGATTTTTTTGGGAGGCCTCCCTCGCAGTGCCTGGCACAGAATAAGTGCTCCAAATTGGTGTTTTTGTCATGATGGCATCTTCTGATCCCCTGCTTCTGAGTCCTGGCTACTTGCCCCATCCCTACTTTAGTTCACATGTTCCCTTAGCCCCCAGGCACCATCTCATCCTCAGGACCAGGATCTTTTCAGTTACTTCATCCAAACTCAGAACCACTAGCTCTTCCTCCAAACCTAGCCCAGTGCCTAGAGCACACCACGGCTCCACCTCAGCATGTTTAAGAATAGATGAGGCCTTCCTGACGGGGCTGTCAGAGGGAAATTGTTTCCTGCTGCTCTCCCGGCTTCTCTTGCCCCCTCCTCTGCAGCCTAGGGTAGAAGGGCTGCTTGCTCTTTGCAAGATGTCTCCTGGTCCACTGTAGCTAGAGCATTGGTGCAATGGCTGACGTCACTCATGGACTCCCTGGAACCTTACTCCCAAACAGAGGGGCTGCCTCATAGGAGTGAAGTAGCTCAAGGTAACTCTGAAACATTAAATCAAAACAAAAATGAAGTTCAAATAATTATTTAACCCTTGAAGAACCTCAAGCTCAGAAAAGTTAAGCCAATAACTCAAACCGCATAGCTAGTTTGCTCATTCGTTTATACATGCAGGAGGAAGAAATGTTGAACAAAACCAAAGATCCTTTCCCTCTTGGACCTTAGAGTCAAGTAGGGTTCAGCAAACTTTTTCTATAAAAGACCAGAGAGTAAATATTTTAGACTATGTGCACAATAGAGTCTCTGTCACAGCTGCTTAACTCCGCCATTGTAATGTATAAGCAGCCATAGATAATACATACATGGTATGGCTGTGTTCCAATAAAGTTTTATTTACAAAAACAGATGATGGGCCAAATTTGGCTCTCAGGCTTTACTTTTAAAATCCCTGGGCTGGTGGAAAAGGAGCTCATAAATGAAATAACTGCATGGTTAAATGTAAAATTAGTGGGTCAAAGAAGAGAGATGTGATTCTGGGAACATAAATAGCAGGACCTGGGAGTCAGCAAAGGTGGTCAGGTGGTCATTTTAAGTGAGCTCTAAGGGTGAGAAGGGAGTCACTAACTAGGTGACACTAACTAGGTGAAGGGAAGGATAGGAAGAGGAAAAGTGTGCTAAGCTGACAGTATAGCCAGTGCAAAGGCACTGTGACAACAGGGACCATGGCTCTTTTCAGACTCTAAAATAAGGCCTGGAAGGCAAGAGGGAGGGCCAGAGAGTCCAGCTCGTGCAGACTATGAAGAAACTGATGAAGACCACAGATAAGAATGGGGTCCTCATCCCAAGAGTTGTGGGAAACCATTGCTCTTTGGATTCTAAGATGTGATGTGATTAGATTCTTATTTTGAAATGCTCACTCTGCTTTCTGGCTCGGGGTCTGACTGGCAGTGACCAGTAGAGACCAGGGTGTTCCCCTGCACTTTGCTGCAGCCAGAGTCCATCCCTGGGTCCCTCACTGACTCTTTATTCTGTTTGCCATTCTAACACATCTTCCCCTTTCTCATATTGCATTATGAATTTTACAGCCACAGCTCTGTGCCAGGCCACTTGTCTTACCTTCCTTCTTCCCCACTCCAGTCCCATCCCCCCTTAACTTCATAAAACTGGCAAGTTAAATTTTTCAATGACTGTTTCTGACAAAGCAGTGGGAATTAGATTTGGTGAAGCGCTTCATAAAAAATTGAAGATACACTGTATTAACATACATTGATTTATTCATAGTGTTTCATTACAAGTAAGTAAGGATCCTGTAATACCAGGAAAGGTTAGGAGAGCAGGGGAGCACGGTGTATTATATTGACAGCTTGGTGGAAATTGAGTTACTTTTGGATTGAATTTGGAGTGCAGAAAGGGAATTGGCTAGTAAATAAGGCACGAGTTTTACCACCCAGTGTCTGTGTATCACTGCAGTTGCCTCCAGCCCAGGTAGCGGGACTGGAACAGAATTTCAAAAGCATGCACGAACACATCTTTTCCATGGGCAAACAGGCTTCGCTGCCATGGGCAGAGCTCTCTGACCACGTTCTTCCTTGAGTGGGTAGGGAAAGCTGGAATCTAGCTGCACGCCGACAGCTCAACCCATTTGCTCAGCACCCTCCAGTCCCTGGACATTTCTCACTTCCCTAAAGCCTTTTTCTGCCACAGGCCTGTGCCCCATCATCCCCCCACCTAGAACCTGGAACACACTGTCTGTCCTCTGCTCTGCTTCTGTATCATCCTGGGGTATTAGTTCTGCCCTGAAACACCTCCCTGAGCATTTTGTCTCTGTTGGGCATTTCTCAGAAGCAGACCTGGAGACAGAGATTCCAAGATGCACAGATTATTGAGACCAGGAAACACTAGAGAGGTGGGGATGGGTGTGTTTTCCAGCACACTGCCTTTGGAGGCAAGTGGTACAGAAGCCCTTTCCCACATCTCGTGGGATACTGCAGGGGCATCACATGAGGGGAGCCTGGGGACTGTCTGCATGAGCCCCCACAGTCCAGTCATGGGGGGCTCATTACCCAGCACTTCTTGTGGGCACCCTGGGAAGAGCCCTCAAGCAGAGAGTCAGAGGTTTGCAGTGCTGGCCTCTGAGAAGGGCTGGAGTAGGCAGGACTCACCAGAGGGAAGGCTGTGAACAGGCCCACCAAGGTCCTGTGGAATGGGTGTCCCTGCCCAGGCTCTGCTTGCAAAGTGCCCAAATCCTTCAGCTCGGTGTATGTCTCCTCCTGAGCTCATGGCTCCAAGCAAAGTCTGGCCTCTCTCCTTCACAAGTGGCATCAGCTGCTATGCTGCTCGGGCTTCATACAGGAGAGAGATATTACCTTTCTCCAAATAATGTGAAACCTTTTCTAGAAACAGCAAACTTCTTATTTTTGAAGTAAAGTTGGTGTGTTCCCTTTTTTTGGCCTTACTGTCTCGTATGGACATTCTTGATGGACAATAAAGTGATGTAACGTCTGTGTCATTGACTGACCTTACTCTAGAATGGACCTTACTCTATTTACCTTACATCTAGAATGGAAGATGCTTGAGACCAGGGTCTGTATCCATTTGGGTGCCCCCAGGAGCACATACTGCAGGTCTTAGAATACAGGAGGATGCAGGAAACATTTGTGAAGGAACAAGTAAGCAAATGAATGAATGAACACATTCTTCAGTTAGTGAAATGTGTCTCTAAGTCAGGCAGTGTGGTGTAGAAAAAAGAGCACAAGTTTTGGAGTCCAACAGACCTGGCTTTGGTCCCTGTGCCAGTGATAAAATACTGAATAAGCACAAGAATGCACGTTCTACAGCTTCATGTGACAACCTGTGTGAATCTCACAAACATGAAATTGAACGAAGGAAGGTGGACACTAAAAGGCGCACCTGTATAACACTAAAGTGTGTATAAAGTACAAAAACAGGCAAAATTAGTCTATACTGGCAGAAATCAGGATAGAAGCTACTGTGCTGGGGGAGGTGGGGGAGGATTGTAAGGGGGAGGAGGGGAAAGTCTTGGGTCTAGTAATGATCTGTCTCTTGACTGGGGGCTGGTTACATGGCTGGATTCAGTAAAAATTCATCAAGCTGTATAGTGCTTTGTATGTTTATTATACTCTAATAAAACATCTTTAATAGAACAAACTAGATTAAAAAAAAACAAAAGAATCCTGTGTTTGCTACTGTAACAACTGTAATGTAGAAATGTGGAGCTCACAGTGTGACCTGTGGAGGCCGGTTCTGGAATGCCAACTGTTTTGTTACTTTCACAGCAAGTTAAGTGCAGGAATTGAGAGTGAGCGAGTAGAACCTCTTACAGCACCTGGGCATGGCTGCAACACAGTTATGATCGGTGGACACAACTCATGGCCCAGAGACCAGTTTGGTTATTGATTCGTCACCTGCAGTGTGCTCCTCAGATTTGTATGGGTCTGTGATGGATCAGAAAACACAAAACTGGGCCTTTACCATAGCTCGGAAAGTGCTGATTTAATCCAAGTTGTTTCCAGTTGAGCCTCAGTTTCTCTAATATTAATCTGAGAATAAATACCCTGATGCCCCCCAAGGTTTTAGGGATGACAGCCCATAATGCATGAGAAAACACCAGATGGCACCAGGTGGAGTAGGGAACCCATGAACTACATTTGCATCTAGTCTTCCAAATAACCCTTGTCAGGGTGCCATGGTTGGACACTTGCTCCCCAGCTGCCTGTCCACAGTGGCAGCCACTCCCCACATGGGGCTCCTGCATTCTTGAAATGTGTCCTGTCCAAAAGCAGATGCGCCATAAGGACAAACTCCAGACTGGATTTCTAAGACTGAATGTGAATAATGAAATATAAAACATTGTATTAAATTGTTTATATTGATTACATATTGAAAGGACAGTATTTTGCATATATTGAGTTCAACAAAATTTTCAAATTAATGTTACTTTCTTTTTTACATTTTTTCCTTTTAATGTGTCCACTAGAAAAATTGAAAAGCATGTGTGTGTCTCGCATTCTATTTCTGTTGGACGGTGATGCCCCAGAGCATCCGCAGGGGCGTATTCAGAGGCTGGGGTAATCTGTAAGGTGGGCCGGCCGTAACAGCAGAACTTGCTGATCAACTTCTCCTTTTCTCCCCTGATATTCCTCCATATGAGCTCCATCCAGCTTCTTGAGTGAGAAGGTATTTATTTGCTTGTTTTCTGGCTTATTGTACAGATCAACTACAAGGCTGTTGGCTCCCTGGACCCAAGTGCTGACCTCTCCAGCCAGAGGGGGAAAGTGTTCAAGCTCCGGAATGAAACCCACCACCTCTTTGTGGGTCTGTACCCAGGGACCACCTACTCCTTCACCATCAAGGCCAGCACAGCAAAGGGCTTTGGGCCCCCCGTCACCACTAGGATCGCCACCAAAATTTCAGGTATCTCTCTTAGAAAGGGAAAAAGAAGAAGGGTGTGTGGGTTTTATTTTTTTCCCATTCCTGGTTTTCCTGGGAACGAAAAAGGGCAGAGCCAGTTGTCACCATGCAGCATTGGAGTGTTTAGGGATCTGCAGTCCCTAGTGTGTTACTATTCTAGTCTCAGGAGGAAAACCTAATCCATGAAGTTCCTAAAGTGTGAGAAATATTATTACACTAGAACAGAGGGAACACTGATTCACCAAATGGTTTATCACAGAGTTCTATGAAGGAGTCCTTTCTTTCATACGCATTGGTTTGTAAAAATGTGATTTGTTTGGGGGAGTTATTTCTTTTGGCAGTGCAAGGGCACAGCTCAGGTTCTCATGAAATGTCTGATGAATGAATGACTGAGTGACTGAATGACTGTTACAGAGCCATGGCCGTCCAGGATGTCACCTGTCGTCACTCATAGGGCCCCTTCCATCACCAGACAGCATCAAAGCAGAATTATCCAGAACAGTTTGGACAATTTACATTTTTTCAGAATACCTGTGCAATTCTGGTCTGCACACATAGAAATTTTGCGTAGATGCAGACCCACAGGTGCTTTGTGTAGCTTCATGTTTTCATTTACCTTTATACCATAAACATTTTCCATGTTGCTACATTGCTTTCACTATAATGTTCTGTCAACTGAATGGACATAATTTAATTAAATATTCTCCCATGGCTAGGAATATATTTGGTGCTTCCATGTTTTTATAAAATAATGCTTCAATAAACATATTACAGAATAAAGTTTAATCATGGGTTTGGATTATAACTTCAGGATAAAATTCCAGAAATTGAAATACTGAATTAAAAGGGATGTGGATTTTAATAGTTCTTAATACAAATGGCTAAATTACCTTCCTAAGGAATTCAATTTAGTCACAGTCCTATCAATGGAGAATGAGAAGGGAGGGTCTCTTAAAAAGAGAAAGAGAGAGATAAGAGTAACTAATTCATCACAGCTGTGATTTGCATTTTAAATGTGTTTAACAAGGTCAATTTTGCTTTCTCATCTTTGTTAACTAGTTGTTTTTCCTGCATTTATCTGTTTATTGAGTGTAGAACTTTCTGATTGCTGAGGGTTGCTGGCCACATCACTGCTGTCCCTCCCCAGGCTCTTCTGCACCTTGAAGGAACCTAGGAGCAGGGTGGAAGTCAGGGCCTCCTTTGCCAAAAGGCTGGGATGCCATGTGACTTTCATCTAACCCTTTCTCAAACGTCCTCCTTCTTGTCACCCTGAGCGTCTTTCGAGATGGCACCACCAGGAGGAGGTAAGTGAGGTTTGGGACCTCTGCTGAGCACCCTCCTCTCTCTGTTCTCTGCCCAGCTCCGTCGATGCCTGAATATGACACAGACACCCCTCTGAATGAAACAGACACAACCATCACGGTGATGCTGAAGCCCGCTCAGTCTCGGGGAGCACCTGTCAGGTGAGGAAAGCTCTGGAGTTGGCAGTTTTTATTCTTTGTACCATATATGCTTCCAGTTGAATCATGTTGCTGGTAATGCCCTTGGCAAGACCAACCAGGGATAAGACCTTCTGGAAGAAGATGGTCAGTAGCTCCAAGCCCAGTTCAGAGGGGCCACTGAGTCAGGACCCTCACTCCCCAAATTGGGGTATTAGGACTGGTGCAGAGGGAACACGCTGATGGGGACCTAAGGAGGACAGGGGAGAATTTTCTGGAACACCCCTATGGTAAATGTATTTATAGGGTTGGAGGCCTGGAAACACAGTGTCCTGGCACAATCACCTTTCCATGTCTGACTGCCATTAATAGACAGACAGACTCGCTGAATTCTAAAAACAACCTGCTGGGAGATTACAAATGGGACAAGCCCTCTGGGCTGGTCCAGTTTAGGGCCTTGAGTGCTGGAGACCCACAGTGGGCCTTGCAGTCACAGCCACACCGCCGATTTTCACAAGAGGCTGTTGGAGTTCAGGCAGACAGCATCTCAGTGGCTAGGCTGGCCAGTGCAAGTTCATGGGCACATGACTATCGGAAAGGCCGGCCTTTCTTCTGAACAAGTTACAGTCTGCCCACGGCAGCCCCTCCTATGTGAACTGCTGACTCTTCTCAGAGCTTAAGGAACTACAGTCCCTTGAATCCAAGCAGAGTGTTGGATGGAACACCTTTCAGATTGACTCAGTTCAATTCAAAAAGCCTGTATTGAGTATCTTATATGCTAGAAATGGGGTGGGGCACACGGGATAAAAATGATTCATTTATTCATTCATTTTACAAACATTTACTGAGCACTTACTCTGTGTCAGGCACTGCTTAACTGTCCAGGATACAGCAGTGAACTAGCTGTGAATTAGTCATGTTTTAAAGAAAGTCAACTGTAGTTGGGGAGACAGAAACATGTAAACATAGTAACAATACAGTGCATGCTTATGGGAGAATGCTCAGGTCGCCATGCGAGCTCAGAGAAGTAAATTCCTAGTTGACATTCTTAGGTGACACTGAGCTGTTTCTCAAATGTGTAAGATTTCACCAGAGCAGTAAGAGTCCAGTGTGAGCAAAGGCATGAAGGAGGGAAGCGGCCTGATGGCAGGGGTACAACCAGGAGTGGTAATGTTGCCTTAGTGAAATGGTCAAAGTGAGCAGGGTGGGGTGGGAATGGAGCTCTTGAGAAGCTCAGGCTTGTTGGAGAGACGTAGAAAGCCACATGCAGTGTCACTTTCATGATACTGGACACTAGGAGATCAGCCAGGAAGAAAGCTATTGAGATGGTCTGGTTACCTGTTTTCCAACCTGGATGCAACTCTACCCAGGAAGTATAGGCACAAGAGCAGACAGAATCAACTCCCAGCATTTTGGAAATTCTCATCTATTTTGAAGACTTAGAACAATGCTCTACCCTAAGTCAGGTCAGTCTTTCAGGCCTTGCAACAGGTGTGCGTAGTGTTTGTGGGGCACCTGACCATAGAAATGTTGCCTTAAATTCTACACATACGTTGTTCCAGGACTGACCTGTCTGGGATGAGCCAAAGCACGTGGAGGCTGTCACGTCAAATAAATACTTGTCAAGCTTCTGTGTTTCTTTCTGTTACTCTCATAGACTGTCACTTAATTCTCCCTGTATGCTGATTTCTCTCTATACATTCTATAAATGAGTATCCTCATTTTCAGATGAAGAAACTGAGGCTCAGAAGTGTCCAAGAGCACACGACAGCAAGTAGGAAGCTGAGTTTGAATTCAGGTCCTTTAAGTGCCAAATCACATGTTCCATTTTGGCTGCCAATGCCTTTCTCCCTTTCACAGCTCTTATCTCTTCTACAGACGCATTGGTCACTGTTTCAAAACCTTCGAAGGCTTCCCAGATGACGAAAGCATGCCCAGAAAAGAAAGGCAGCTTGCCTAACTGTAGCTCTGGGGGGAAAGGGTGTTCCTGGCCCAGGGCAAGTCCCCCCTGTGAATCCGATAAAACCAAAGTCAAAGGAAAGGGCAGGTTGGGAGAAAGGCTTTTATTTCTTACAGCTTGCTTGGGATTGCTAGCCACCCTGGCTCTGCCTGCCTCCCCCAGCCGCAGCTCACACTCTTCTTCCCTGCCCACCCCGTCCTGGAGGAACTCCATAGGCAGGTCCTTGGTGACTGGCAAACACGGGCCAATTATGTACCAGGAATGGAGGGGAAGAGAGAATGGCCATTTCCTGTCCACACCTTGCCCTGGATGGAACGGAGGCTCTGAAACATCCATTGGTATAAAAATGGACTAAGGCCAGGCAGGATATTCTGGATATTCTGAGTAGAAACTTCCATATACCCCTCACTAACGTAGCATGGCAAGTTATCAGCTGACCTAAGAGCACAGGCCTGACCCAAAACTCATGACCTTTCTGTAGTAGACCCAGGTATTCCCTGTCATTACTGCAAGCCTACAAAACCATCAGCAAAGAGACCTTATCAGCGGGCATTATGCAGTGTGGTTCCTGGTGGGCACAGAGTCCACCCAGCTCCCCAAGTCTTCTGGCTGCTATGCGGGGCACTGGAAAGATGTGAGTTTGGCAGGGAACCTAGGTTCAAATTCTGCTCTAACACTGCTGTGTGATCTTGTATGAGATGCTTAATCTCTCTGAACCTCAGTTTTCCTCATCTGAAAAGTATGGTATTTCACAGAGGCTGAATAAAATACACTTGTGCCCAAAGCATGGGAAACCTGTCAGAGTTAGTTCCTTTGTTAGCTTTGTTTCCTTGTGGAATTTAGGAGGTTCTTTTCAAAATGGTGTTTAAAATTCTACCCCCATCATAGGGTTACAATGTTGCCCACTTCCTTCCTGTTCAAATTTCCAGACTTCCTTGAGACCTTGATTCCATGGTGGCGAGGAAAGTACTTTGCTGTTTCCTTAGGAGCCTCTAACTTCTTTCCAGCACAAAGCTTCAGAGAAACTTTTTTTTTTAATTGTGTTGACAGGTAAGCAGTCTGGGTCCTGCCCAGCGGCAGGACAAAGTTGATTTTTGTACAGAGGATCAGGGTCCTATCCTCAAGATTAATCAGATTATATGTCTATGAACCTCTGAAAACTCATCAAAGGCAGCTGAACACAGATGGGAGTAATTATTACCTTGTTTTATTGGGCATCTGCTATGTTCCAAGAATTTAACCTTGACTAATTTATTAGTAGTAGTATTAGCTCCCTGTCAGAAATGAGGGAAGTAAAGTTCAAGTCCCCCAGCCAGTAAGTGATGAAGCCAGGGCTCATATCCAGGCCTGCCTGTCTCACTCCAGAGACCAGCAAGGGGTCCTCAGAGCACCCCAAACCGCAGTTCTTCGGGAAGCTTTTCCAGTTCCTACAATGAGAAGCCCCCTACACTTTCATTCTGAGCCTACAAGCTCTTACTATACACATCTGTTAAATAAAGTCATGTATCCTGAGACTACAGTCCATCAGAAGGTGAGAATGGAAATGCCTCAGTAGCAGTGAGCAATGACAGTTGGCAGGGTGCAAAGAACAGGACAACTCTATGCAACAGATAGAAGGATTCAAGAAATCAGGAGGTCTGCCTGCCACAGTCGCTGCAGCCTCCACAGCCCCCGCGGCCCCGGTGGCCCCTGCAGCCCCCATGGCCCCTGCAGCCCCCGTGGCCTCTGCAGCCCCACGCAGCCATGGGTGTTCCCTGGTTGGTCCTGGTTCATCTGAAAATGTAGCACTAGGTTCCGTGACTTTAAGTTAAAGAGCCTGCTAGCTTCCATTTAATCAGCAAGCCCTTGCTGTGTGCCTGTCACTGTACACAAACTGTCTGTAGCCTCACAACATTGCAAAAATAGTCTGCTCATTTTGCAGATAGGGAAACTGAGTAAACAGAAGCTCAGTGAGTTGGCCCAGGCCTTGAAGCAAGTAAGTGGTGCAAGCGGAATTTAAGCCCAGTTTCATTGACCATAAGCCAATGCTCATTTTGCTGCACCACACCACTTTCCTAGGAGAAAAGTTGTGCATGATATATTTTGGTGACATTTCCATTAGAAAAAAATTAAAAACAAATGTCACTGCTCACAGGGGCAACGGTTGGTGTCTAGAAAAGTCTGGCTGCTTTTCTTCCCAAATCTCTGGATCACCGAGGGTGGGTGAACACTCAATTTCTGGAATTAATATTCAGACAGTTGCTTGAGAATTTGCCAGGAAGGGGAGGAGACTAATGAAGGCCAGCTACTGAGACTTTCAGGACAACCACACTGTGAGCAGTGCCAATGTCACAACAGATTTCAGCTGCTTTAACCCTTTTTCACCTGCAACTTTGGGCCCTAGGATGCCTATATGAGAAGCAGTTGATCACTAGGTTGTTCAGCACATATTTATTGAACACTTGCTGTGTCCCAGGAATTGAGCTAAGCAATGGGGATATCCCAGGAAACAAAGAAGACATATACATGTCCTCTCAAGGGGGCAGGAAGGTGGGGCCTTAATCAAGTAAGCAAACAAAATAATCAAACTGGCCAAACAAGATCATACGAAGCCAGTAAGACAGTGCTGAGATCAGGAGCAGACTGGCCTGAGCACACCCCAGGTAAGCGGGCCAACGTGGAGTCCTGCAGGTGGGGGAAATAGGAGCACTGCAAACACAAGGAAGTCATCTATCACCACAGGACACCAAGAGTTTGCTAGATGCATTGGGTCAAGGATGCCAGCATGATATTTTATAGTTTTTAGTTCCTTTAATTGCATTGCATCATCTGATCACCACTTACCTGGTGAGTAAGCTGATGAAGTACCATCTGCATTTCAGAGGAGGGAGTTGAAGTCTAAGATACTAAATGGCCCAGGATCAAGGAGCTCGGGAGGGGTAGAGCTGCCACACGGTCCTAGCTTCCTGCCTCCCAGTGCATTGCTTCCTCAGGAGCTTCTGAGTTCCCCATGCCTGGATGTCAAGTGATGACTCAGTGACCTTTCAGTGGGGATGCTGTGGAGGGATGTTCCATTAACTAGGGA